AAATAGGTGATGGACATTAAGGAAGACACCTGTTGGGATTCGCACTGGGAGTTATACATAGGGGATGAATCACTGGAATCTACTCCTGAAAACATTATTGCCCTGTGCGCTAACATGGATGTAAATTAAAAACAAACAAACTTTTGTGCTGAAAACAGTACCATTAAGAAAGTGAAAAGACAACTGACAAAATGAGAAAATATTTTCAAATTATATATCTAATAAGGGGTCAGTATCCAGAATATATATAAAGAATTACAACTCGATAATAAAAAAGACAATTAAAAAAATGGCAAAAGGAAGCATGGAAGCTTTTTTTGCATCTCGCATCCATGAAATACAGCCAGACCAACATTAAACCATCCTGCACACCTAGAAAACTGATTTGAGGATTAACACAACAATCTGCATAACCTGAACCACAGAACTCAGCAGGTACGCAGCGTGGAGAGGTGAACTGGGGTTGAGAAAAGCCATGGAGGGCAGGGAGCTATTTTTGCTTGGGGAGAGAGGAAGGAGATGGGGGGGGAGAGTACAGGAAAAGCACATCCCCCCCAAAACAGCTGAGAGAAAGTGGGAAAATGGAAACAGCCACAGGGACTGAACTAAAAAGGGAGAAAGGAGAAAGAAGAGGGTTTAATATCCATTAAGACTCTATAAACGGGGAGCGCAGAGTCTGAAACTCTGTAGCTTGATACCTGGCAGTGCTCTGGTGGGAAGGGCGAATCCCCAGGGGCAGAGTGAGGTCTGGGCGGGGCGGGGGGTGCTGAGGGGGTCCTTGGGCCACATGGGGAGAAGCAGTTCCACTGCTGGAAGGACATTTGGTAGAGGCTGTGCGGCCATCCCGCAGGCAAAGGTCTCAGCAGACCCCAGAGAACAACCACATTCACTGGTGCTGGAATAATGTTGTTAAGGGTGAAGCCTGGTGCCAGATGTGTGTTGTGATTTTCCATAATCCCTGAAATGCTGCTGCTACACGATCATGTGAACTTTTGCTGGGGTGGGCTGTCACCCAGCTGTAGTCTCTGGGTATCGGCAGCAGCAAGGTCCCGTCAACATTCCTGGGTGTGGCCAGCACCTGGCCTTTGATCAGTGAGACCCTCCTCGAGAATGTCTGAGTGGGTCTCACCTTGGCCACAGCAACTTCTTACTCAACACATCTCTGGAGGCAAGGGAAACAAAAGCAAAAATAAACTATTGGGACCTCATCAAAATAAAAATCTTCTGCACAGTGAAGGAAACAATCAGCAAAACTAAAAGGCAACCAATGGAATGGGAGAAGATATTTGCAAATGATATATCAGATAAAGGTTTAGTATCCAAAATCTATAGAGAACTTATCAAACTCAACACCCAAAAAACAATCCAGTGAAGAAATGTGCAAAAGACATGAACAGACGCTTCTCCAAAGAAGACATCCAGATGGCCAATCAACACATCAAAAAATGCTCAACATCACTTATCATCAGGGAAATACAAATCAAAATACCTCCTGGGAGGAAAAGGGAAACACAAAAAAATAAAGCTGGCTGGGACTCAATAAAATAAAATTCTTCTGCACAAGTGAAGAAACAATCAGCAAAACTAAAAGGCAACCAATGGAATGGGAGAAGATATTTGCAAATGATATATCAGATAAAGGTTTAGCATCCAAAATTCATAGAGAACTTAATCAAAACTACCACTCAAAAAAACAACTAACAAGAACAAATGCAAAAGAATATGAACAGACGCCTGAAAGAAGACACCAGACGGCCAACACACAATGCATCATCATCACTATCATCAGGAAAAGCACAACAAACCAATGAGATACTACCACAATCGTCAGAATAGGCCAACATTAACACCTGTAACAACAGATGTTGGCTACAGGATGGATGGATGTTATTAGCATCTCTTTGCACTGTTGGTGGAAAAGCTGGTGCAGCCACTCTGGAAAACAGTATGGAGTCTCAAAAACCAAAAATAGAACTACCCCACGGTAATCTGCAGCAATTGCACTCAATTAGGTATTTATCCAAGGGGATACAGGCATACTGTTTCCAGCAAGCACATGCACTCCAATGTTTATAGCAGCATCATCACAATAGCCAAAGTATGGAAAGAGCCCAAATGTCCATCATCACTGATGAATGGATAAAGAAGAAGATGTGGTATATATTTATATTTATATTTATATTTATATTTATATTTATACACACACACACACACACAATGGAGTATTACTCAGCAATCAAAAAGAATGAAATCTTGCCATTCACACCTACGTAGATGGAACTAGAGGGTATTATGCTAAGAGAAATTAGCTTGGTCTAGAGAAAAGACAAATTACGACTTTGTCATAGAGGACTTTTAAGATACAAAAACAGATACAAGAAGCAAAAATAATAAACAGGGAGGGGGACAAAAATAAGAGACTCTTCAATATGGAGAACAAACAGAGGGTTACTGAAGGGGTTGTGGGAGGCAGAATGGGCTAAATGGGTAAGGGGCATTAAGGAATCTACCCTGAAATTTGG